CAATCAACTGCCACAACTATGATTTTGTTCTTTTTTTTTTGCAAATTAGCTTTACACAGCCAAGTATAATTATATAACCAGCTGGGCTTTTGCTAATTCCTTACCGTTGTAGGAAGAGTCTTATTTGCTTCTTGATAGACATGTTGTTCTGAGACTAAACTGCTAGGGAAATAACCAACTGTCCCCATATGGTCTTCATACTGTTCTCCATAAACCTTCAAGCAAGGAGATGTATAATTAGGTACCTTAAAACAGTCCTCATCTGGTCTGAGCTAGTTCATAATTGAGTCAAAAGCAGTTCCTAACAGTGTTCCTTACTCTGGTTTTAGATTTCCTAGCTTCCAGTTAGCTGGCACATGAAACGAACCATTAACACAAGTTCTGATACAGGCACACATTTTTTGGAGTTAATTAATACCGCCTATAGTTTATCTGGATTTTTTTTTTTTTTATATAAATGCAGCTAATATTTATCTTTGCTTCCTTTAAATTTAAGTGTTTTATGACCAACTGTGATAAAAACTTTCTCCTCCAGTTTCAGCAAACAGCCATAGAAAAGAACTGTTGAGCCCTTCTGTTAAGGTTCAATTCGTATTTACCACACACTTATTGAAGATATTTCATTAAAAAAAAATAAAATTAAATGCCTCAAGACTCCTCAATCACTTTAAGTTCAAACATTCACTTTGAAAACTAAGTTGCTGCTTTAAAACCCACAATAGCTCAGCATTAGCATCCGTTTCCTGACAGAAACGCATGTGAATCTACTTAAAGTTTGCTCATATACACAAGAATCTAGTCTTACACTTCCAGCCCAGAATTCTCCAGAGTCTTTTTCTTTCACTAGTTTTGAGTAAATATAAATCAACTGCCCTTTTTTAATATTAATGAATCTGCAGTCTGGAGCATTATAATCCTCTTCTGCTCTGGCAAGGGAAATGGTGTCTAGGAAAAAAAAGAAAGAATGAGGTGGATGAATTTAAATATATATATACACTTTTAGAGAGAGAAATATATGTGTGTGTTCATGCACACGTGTAAAACTATTTCTACAGACAAAAGTCTCTTATCCTGAAATTAATAAAAGCCTTCAAGAATTTGTCCTGCTCATTTTTCTGTTCTCCAGGAAGCAAAATACCATCTTCAGAATGGGCCATTTCATCATAGTGGAAGTTACAATTCTTGCTACACTTACCGTTCATTTGAGTGAAAAATGTCCCTTACAAAATGCTTTTTGCAGTGACACTGCATGTGACATTCCACATAAACCCCCCCACTTTGCTTTTGAAGTTGACAAACCAATGCAAACAGAGCTAAATAAGCAGAGTAGTTTTCCCTCACACTACCGCATCCACTCCACAGTCATTTTTGAGACTATTTTGCCCTCAAAATTAAAGCAAAATTACTTACAGACGCAGTCATCATCAGCACACAGCTTCTTGCTGGCAAGCTTGTCCATAAAAATTCCAGTTACAAAAGGCCGTGTTAATCCAAGACACAAAAGTAAAACAACCAAATACAGACGTTGTGTCATTTTTCCTTGCTGCAGTGCTTGCCGAATGCACGCAGGGTCCGGCGATCCCTGTCTTTTATGGAAGAAGCAGACACCTGGACAAACATGCCGGGCCAATGGGAAGCGCTGGGGGCAACATTCCACCCCACCAGAGGAGCCTCAGGCAGGAAGACAACCTCAGGGTCCATTGGGGAAACTGAATCCCTTCCCAAAGCCATTCCCCATTAACAGTTCAATCAGCAACCGAATCATTTAAACCTTTTAAGCCTTCCTGTAGTTGTCCATAGTCTTAATCTTACCTCAAGCAAAGCTTGAGAGGGAAAATTAAGTCAGGCTCTGGTAAGCAGCAAAGGAAATTACATCTTTCCAAATCCTCAAGTTCTTCCTTTTCACAAATGCTCACTGACAAGTATAATCTTCCCTGGACCGTAAACCCCACCGTGGCAGAGCCTCCCCTGTTACAGTCTACAGAAAGGACCTGCTAGGATCCTGACACACGGACACAAATGTAAACAAACCATCAGGGATTTGAAAGTAAAAAGATTTTGCAGGTCAGCAACTTGGATTTGAAGTCTAAAAGGTTCAAGCAACATAGACTTATCTAGACAAGATCCCTTCCTCGGGGAGATGAAGTCAAGAGCAGAACACACAGGTTACACCAGGACAGCAACCATGTCACTTTTATTTACATAGCTGAGCTCAGCTGAGATTTTGCTGGTGCAAGATGCTGAACAACGTCACAGGCTCAAAAGGTCCTCTTCATGCCTTGGAGAGGACATCTAAAATTTATCTAACTTGCCAAAATCTTGCCCTAGCATACATCAGGTGGGACTTGTAGGGAGTACTTTAATTAAAATAGTTGTGTGCACAGGCACAGAAGGAACAACCACTGGAGTTACTGCACTGTAAGCAATTCACACCACAGCTGCCAGGCTACAAAAGGCTGATCTGGATCAGTCCTTAAAGCGACTAAGAGGAAGTTTGAGAATTCCCAAAAGAGCACAGTGGAGAACCAGTGCTACCTGATTCACAAGGAGGCCTGCAGAGCTGCTGGCTGCACCAGCTTTCAGTCCACAAGCACAACAGTGGAAGCTGTCAACCATCACCCAAAATACCACACTCTCTTTTAAAGAAAGAGCATCTTGCAGTTTCTAGCATCACCCTTCTATTACAGCTGACTTCACCACGTTCTCCTCTTACCTTCCAGCACATTACTTCTTCCTCCAGCTTCCTGTACTAGTGTCTAACTTCCTTTGCAGACAGCTCCACACAGAATTTTCTAAGGGACTAAAGGTGAAGAGCAGTGGTATGCAATGCTAGTCTCTAGCGGGATGCAAGGATGGCATAAATAATACCTATAAAATTATGACTGCAGAAGGAAAAACGTAAGGTTCAGGATAGAACAACACAGTCACTTTTGCTCTCTTACAGGCACATTGAAATTATTTTTACTTGTAAATATTAGAATACTTGTGAAATCACACAAAAAAAAATCACTAAAAAGAATGAAAAAATACACATATGACAGTAACCAAGATGACACTGGAAGGGGCATCATCTTGTAATGTATTCTGGGAGCAAATAAAAGATTTTTCAGACCTTGTGCAAAAGAGGTGCTTCATGTAGCTATTTTTATGCTTACAGATGCACTGAAACATGGCACTTGCTCAGAAATCGAGTGGATATGCCAGAACTACCATATAGAATATACACCAAGAAGTATTCCAAGATTTTATAAAAGCAGTCACGTTTCCCCAAAGGTACAGCACTTTGTCCAAAGAACAGTTTTAACTCAGATTTCAATTGTTTTGGAACACAGAATGGTGAGGGTTGGAAGGGACCTCAGGAGATCATCCACTCCCAACTCCCCTGCCAAAGCAGGTTCCCTACATCAGGTTGTACAGAAAAGCATCCAGGCGGGTTTGGAATCTCTCTGGAGATGGAGACTCCACAACCTCTCTGGGCAGCCTGTCCCAGGGCTCCAACACCCTCCGTCACAGTAAAGAAGTTTTTCCTTAAGTTAATATGGAAAAACTGCACAACACAAACAGCAGATGCTCTGCAGCTACAGCTGAGGCCACACAACACAGGGGCTGCACCGAGCCACGGTCATAGAGAAAAGGTTACAGCCTCCAGCATCCTTCCACGCGCCCACGTTGACCAAAATGCCTTGGAAACAGAAAAACCCTCAACACCTGTGATGTAGTTACAAGAGAGAACATTCTGCATAGTTACACCAGCTGCTCTTAATACTTTTAAAGGAAATCACACTGGCTCTCTCCCATTACTTCTTTGCCTGAAATGGTAGTTAGGGACCTCACAGAGAAAGTGTTGAAGTGAGGAATGGCGCAACACGGACAAGCATGAACATGTTGTGTGAACGCTTCCTCTCAAACATAAATCTTCAAGGGCCTGATTGCAACCCTCCCAGCCAACACCACGCAACAACTACTGCAAGATTCACAAAAGTATAACAATATTTTAAGTAAAACTCATTATTCTCTTAACTTAAAACATCTTTCTAGGTCTTCCATCATGTGACCAGAACACTTTTGAAGTGATTTTTGCACCCAAATATTTAGAACAATCACAACTCACAATACTACACCTGATTACTTCACTGCATTCGGTGTATTTCATGTCATACAAGACCTGTAAAGGTTTTTCACAAATGGAGGAAAAAAAACCCAACAACCAAACACCAAAACCCCCAAACCCAGAAACATTAGGACATGTACTTCGGAAAAAGCTGCCTAAAAAGCATCAGGGTCCTCTGCATTGTCTTTGTAAAGAGCCACAAAGCTCTTCCTAAACCATTTATTAAAATCATTGGTTAATAGGGCTGGGAAGAGCAGAAAAGACAACAGAAACTTATGTTTCTTCGGTGGACTTGCTTCTACTACCAGCCATCATTAGAAAGACAAAACCAAGTTGAACAACAGTGCTGACAAATTGTGATCAATTTCAACCCATACCTGTCAAAAACCCCACTAACGATCATTTTTCTTAAGTGACAAAATTATTCTTGCTGAAAAGCAGCTGTCCCCTTGATAACGAGGCTGAAGATGGAGTGTTGCATTTATTCAGAATATGCTGGCATTTCACATTCCTG